GTTTGAGAATTTTTAACTCCCATCAGGTGTAGTACTGAGAAGACAGACAATATTTCAAGGCTTCATTTTGAAGCACATCTAAACCTGAAATTTATTTTATTCCTTTGAAAGGACAGGAAAAAGTCATACTTACTTCAAGGGAGAAATAATAATGTGAACAAAAAACTTACCTCTTTGCATGTATCTTTCTGAAGAATTACAGATGCTATATTTAATAAATTGCTTGTTTTGTAAAATAAAGCAGTGTTAAAGTACAAAATTATGTTCTTAGCTTTAGAGTTTGCTTTCATGAAGAAAGCAGGACCCAAGAATGACAGATTCCAGTTTTGCTTTCCTGCTGCAAAGGAAGGAATAGAATGGTGGTTTCCAGCTAAGCAAGAGGTAGTCCAACAGCAGTAGTACTTTGTCTCTATTCACTCTGATTTTTGTAAACTAGTTTCTTTTTAAAATAATATTTAACAAGGTAAATGCAGCAAAGCAAGAAATGCTCAGAAATATTGCTGATGCCTTCCAGAAAGTTTGTCACACATTTAGATGGAATAATTTGTATAAGGCTTTGTGTAAGGCTTTTACAATTATAAAAGCCTTACAAAAGGCTTTATATAAAAATTACTGATTAAATCAAAATTACTGCACAGCACCATTCTGTCTTTAAAACACAGAACGCTCTATAGGGACAATGCTCTGAAAGACCCAATGATGCTGCTGATGGCTTTATCCCAGTGTCACAGTGTCTGCTCAGGAATCCTAACTGTTAGTCATTCATTATTTCTTAGTCTGTAAAATACTACAGTGAGCAGCAGAATTAGCAAAGAGAAGCTGCTTATATCCCAGAAAGCTACTGCTTTGAACTACTGGGACTATTTAGGGGCTGTAGAACAACAGATTTGAGACATTTGAAAATGAAGTAGGCAGTTAACAAGATAGTGGGAATGCTTTAGCAGAGGAAGGTGGGAGAGAAGTGCATTAAATAGGAATAAAAATGGTATAAATATCAATTAGAAGCAATACAGCAACTCAGAAAATCCCTGTAAATGAAATTATATCAAGAAGTGTAAGTATATAGGAAAGCCTTTATAACTTTTCAGTTGGCCATACCTTAACATCTAGCAACTACTAGACTCTTGATGGTATGGAAGATAGAAGCACTCCTCTCCCTCACTATTTTCATCCTCATTCAGCATTCCCTGTATTTTGGTCTGCTTCATGTTGCTGGTCTTCTGTATCTTCTTTGCTTCATTTGCTCAGTCAACCTGCAATACTTTGTTTAAAGTTTTCCTCTTTTTGGTGCAGGTCCATTCCTATCTCCCCCTTTCTTCTACCCCTTTCTAGGCCACCTGACAGATGGGAAGAATAATTCCTAGGAGCATCCACAGATACTCTACCAACCCCTGTCCCTTTGCTGTTCCACACAGTTCTTAAGTGAGCTCCTGAAAATTACCAAATGGCATTTGAAGCAGGCAGCAAAATTAAAGAACAGCCATGATAAAGTATGCATTGCCTATCATACCTGAAGCAATGTATGTACACATGCACATACATCTTAGGGGTTTGAGGGTTACATAAGAAATATATTGTGGATTAAAGGCATCACAGGCTACAGTCACTTTATTCACTTTGCTTTCAATTTTATGAATGCATCCTTTGTGGTCAGCGGCCAGTAAGAATATGGAGAGGCAGAACCAGAGAACTGGTAGAGCAACATCTACACAAGTGATGTGGAAAAAAATACATTCCAGCTGCACAGTTAATCTGAGCAGCCTTGACACAGCACAGGTCTGTCTGCATGCAGAGTGTACTTACTCCTTGCAACCAGAAAACAAGCCAGGATAAACAACTGTGAATTCCACTTTCAACCTCCACATTCTAGAACACGTCTCCCAGTGAAAAGCTGAGTGTACAGTCCTGTGCGTGGTCTCCAAGGGAAGTTAAGCATGCAAAAAAAGTTACAGGACCTTTCATTTCCCTTTCCCTTTAGGTGTATGCAGACTTCCTACCCTTAGTTCCCAGGATAATCCTCTCAGAAATTTTTCTTGCTGCAAGCAAGACAAAAAATTTAAGTCACAAAGGTAAAGTTTACTTGAAAAAAATATTTTGGAATAATCTGTATCTCAAGTTGTCACACCACCATACTGACCTCAGCAGTAAGGCTAGCAATCGGAAATTCTCCCATAATCCACACAGGTATTACAAGTCTCTATTTGCCCTTTGAGCACACATCTCCACTGTCCTAAAAAAATGAAAATTTTATTGTAGCTTTATAATTATACTGCTCTAAGCAGGGAGGCAGAGAGCTCCTTCGACAGTGGAAAAGGTGAGCAGAGTGAGGTCTTTTTCAAAAATTTAAAGCAGACAGGTAACCTTGCCTCCTTGTCTTAGTACTGTCAGTGGTGGAGAGAGTATTGGCTCAGTCAAACTACAACCCCTTAGCTCATTTCTAGGGCCATTCAGTGATACTCTGCAATTTTATCAAATGATTCAGGTAATAATGAAAATTACAGCTGTGCTACTTCAAACAGATCATCCCATTGAGCCCAAACTGTAGTGATATTCAAGCCATCTTTGCTTTTAATTTAGCTTTCAGGTACAAAACTGGCCAATTAGTGTACTTGTCAGCAACTTGAAAGGAAAAAAAACAACAGAAAGCCAGCAACAGCATTAAATGATCAATGATGAAAAATTACATGAGCAAATTAATCCCAAAAGAATAAAATCTACTTTTAGACACCAGAACATCTGCTTAGCCAAGAATTTTCTGCTAGCAGTATCTTTCTCCCTAGCACTGAGTTACAAAAATTCTGTAACAAGGCCATGCAGCTATTAAGCTCATCTACCCAAGGTACTCATATTTGCTATAAAAAAGCAGGATGTTTATTGTTTTCACTGCGAACTACATCATTTCTATGTAAAAATGTAAATGAGTTACAAGTATTTGTATTATTACAGCCCATTTTAAAATGATATGCAACAGACATTTCCGCAAGTATCAGTGAGCGTCAGCACATTTCATCTGTAGTACAACCTGATACTAACACCGTGTGCAAATGCAGTAGTTACTCCAAATTTATATATACTTTAAACCAGAAAGCTCATCTCAGCTCCAAAACCAGCAAGAAAGTATGTTTTCTCCTTCATAAAATATACACAAGCAGCATATACATAATCCATGTTTTACAGAGCACTTTGGGGTTTATTGATGGGTCTGGAGTTACCTAAGTTCAAAATGGGGTACCCCTTTTAGATACAGGACTTTCCTTGCAATGGAAGTGCAAATCCATCAAAAGTACCATTGCTCCATCTCAACCTTTGGAAAATGTACCAAGCATTATGCACAAAGCAGTTATCAGTGACAAAGTTGACCTTTTAAATGAATTTTAATACATTTTTCCCACTGAAGCCTCTTTAAAATACCAGCAGGCGACCCTTTAAGCAACACCCTTTCCTAACAAGCATCTGAACAATCCTATGGCTGAATGTCAATGAAGCTGGCAGCTGCAAGGCAATTCTCTCCCCCTCTTGGGTTTTCCACTGAAATACAACACTGCAAGGAACACTAAGTGTAGTTTCCCTTTCTCAGTTACAGAAGAGGAACTGCTGGCTGCCCCTTGTAGTCTTATCTCAGGTCTACCTTGACAAAATTATCTAAGCATCTTTAAAAGATAGTTTCAGGTCTACCAGTGTGCAATAAGAAAATGGACTTAAAATTCTCTTATTGTTGTACGTATTTTTAACAACTGTGCAACATGGACTCAATCCTAGAGAAAAATTGTGCGACTTTGCTCCACATACAGAATGAGTCTTGAGAAATTTAGCTCTGCACTAGACTGCTTGACAGACTACGTCACTACATAAGCCAAGCTTGTCTCAGTCTTCTGCCAGCCTTAAAATTTGAGTTCTTCACTTTCCCCAGGATTAGAAGGAACTTTCAGCAAAGAAAGAAAAAATCTACTGAGTTAAAACATGCCTCTAAAGAAACTGATTTTCAGTACATGAAAGTGACAGTTTTGCCTAGCAAGCTGCACCATACACACGACTTCAAAAGGTGATTTAACATCAACAGTCTTAATACAAGTCATAGTAAGGGCTCTTCTCCAAGGAAGCTCTTACAAGTATTTAATGACTCATTAAATAATTTCAAAGCTTCCCATTCACGATGGGGAAACAAGATTTACATACTTTTAGCATTAGATAATTTTAATTCAACAACAAAGTACTTGTACACGTATTTTATTTAGACTTAGGGTCTAAATTTGACTTTGCTGTGTAATGCAGGCCGATACCAGTTGCTCTAAGAGTGCCTTTATTACTGTCATGGTGACAGGGAAATGGTGTAGTTCTAGCTTTTACTCTGCATTCTGAAAGGCAACAATTCAAAATAAGGCCCAGCTTTCTTGTTTAGCATAATCATTCAAAATCTTGGAAGTTGGAGGATTTTCCCAGGGGGTGAGAAGCTCCGTGCTACAATAGCAGGCACATCCAACTCCAGCAAGATGCAGCAGTCAGTACATTTATGATATTCCAATGGCACCTGCCTGATTTGTCATTTTGGCTCTGAAGGAGCCAAGAAAAGAGGAAGAAGCAGTGTAACATAAGTGCCAAGCTACGTTCAGTATCAGCTCACACACTGTAAGGCAGCCTATCCACAGAACTGCAAAAAAAAACCACATCACCTCCAGCTGTACTTTGTGAGCTAAGTAGTACTGGATAGGGTGTAGTGATTACCAGCTGTGGGTTATTGAACAGGTGAAATGCAGAAGGCAGCACCATCTCCCTCCACTAAGACTTGAGAAAAAAATTTAAAAATAAATACCTTAACATTTCCTTTAACTTGTGTGCTGAGGAGCATGTATTTCTTCACATCAAGGTCCAAAACACCTGGCATGGCTCCTTGAGCTGCAGAAATACATGGCTCAACCACAATTCAGTATTATACTAATTCAGAAAAAAATAACTGAAATAAAAAACTACAACTGTAGCAAATGTAGGGAAAAGCTGGCAAGTTTTTCAAACTCTAGAGTAAAAGACAAGCCATTTTTATTTTATTGTAAAGCTGAAGTACACCATTAGTAGTCAAATATATTTGAAAATCTTTATTAACATCAGCTTTTCTCTAGTTAAGAGGTAGCAACTACTGTTTAATTCCACAGGACAATCAGAAGAGCCGAGTTCTTTGGTGTGGTTCAAAGCCAACAGAAGCAAAAATTAGTCAAGTATGCGTAAGTTAAGTTGGGATGACCATCCCAAGGCAGAAACAGCTCTAGTATGCATAAGGTTCCTTTTATCTCTGTGGGAAACACTGATATCATGACTAGGATGCCCCATCAGACTCCAGTCTCGTCTCAGCCATTCAGGAGTTCAGCTGTTCTACAGTAACAGCTTATTACAGGCAAATGATCAGTGGGCTCCAAGTGCAAGGACAGGTTCTTGGCACTTCTCTGGAAACAGTGAAAACCTAATTTTAAGTGGAAGGGTAACATTTCTCTAGTTTCTAAAGTGTGATACAGGGTATTTTTTTTAAAAACTTTTTTGGGGTGGGAGGGGGGAAGCCAGGAGAGTCTTTGAGGTATTTGCTACTATGAAATGAAGCTTACATATGCAGTAGTAAACAGACACTAAGCACTCTGTTTCTCATTTATTTCAGGCAATGACAGTGGTAGAATTTAAACCCTCATGTGAGATGAGGGCACAACCAATAATGACATTATATAGTTTGTTTTCTACATAGTCAAATATATAAAAGTTTCATGAAACTCATCACTGGGTCAGCCAGGAGTCAGTCCATGAGTTGTCTATTCAGTTAGACCAAGCTTCTTCTTCAGAGATTCTGGCATTTCAGGTGGAGGTGGGCGAGGAAGTCTGAAATAAACCTTGACAGAATCGTAGATGAACCACTGTAGTGCAGTCAGGGTACCAATCATAATGATACGAGCAAACAGACCTTTCCATACACCTGGAGAGCAAACCATAAAGTGTGAGCAGCATAAAATGGCATGAAAAAAATGCCTCCTCCCCTAAACACCAGAAACACTTGATCCAAAATACATGAAAGAAAGAATGTACCTCTGAATCCAAGCCTCATAAGAACCTGTGAAGCTGAGCTGCCCTTTTCTTTGTTCAACACAGACACCACAGAGTCAGCAGGATGGGAAACAATTGCACAGAACACACCAGCTGAAAGAATAATTTGACATTAGTTCTGTGGTGTTTTAGCTGTACCACTACTGTGTACACTAAGTACAACCACCTGAAACTTCTGAACAGAAGAAAACAGCCAAAAAAAACTTCTGAATCTTTGGATATTGAAAATTCCCCCCTTTCATCAAAAGATTCCCAAGACTGAGAAAGATGCAAATTTTCACTTAAATCAGCTGCAATTTTTAAATCTGGCCATCAATACTGGTAACATATAGGAGCAGTTAAGAGAAGTCTCCTATTACAGACCCACTTTCCCCTAACAGGCCGATTTTATAGTTACTTCTCCTGCACATTTCAAAGCTGCAGGGAAGTTCTCCCATGTTAGTGACATCTGCTAATGTCACTTTTCAGTTAATACTCTGAAAAGCAACAGGTCTCTAGATTTGCAGTAATCCATTAATGTAGTGTAGAACTTAAACATTCCTTACCAATATAGCCTGCAACAAATGTGACTACCAGCTGTTCTCCTTTTGTACATTCACTTCGTGGCTTGGGAACAACATACTTGTAGAGAGCTTCAACAGTACGTTCAAAGCAGGCAAACTTCATCATTGTGTATGGAATCTGTCTCATCCATAGTGGAGCAACACCTTTATAGAAACTTAACCAGAGAAGAGACAATCTCAGTTTTATTTTCTTCGCTATTGAAAGTGTATTTCTAACCTGAAATGAATTAGCTTATTTATTGCTGCTATACAACTTCTATATACTGACCCTGTAATGCTGTCAATACCTACAGAAATTAGTTGTTTAAATTCCAAAGTACAACCTTCAAACAGCAGCACAAATTGAAATTTTCCTGATCCCCAGGCTGCACAGCAGTTTCTTTAGTTCCTTCTTAGATTACAATACACTGCAACAATGTAGTACTGATACTACCAGTGCAGTAAGGGTAATGTCTGCATGCCAGCCAAGTCCTGATAGTGAAACATGACCTGTACATCTACAGCCACTTCTATCAGAACAGAAAGCTAACATGCAGTTATATTGCTCTCACATGCCAATGACTCAAGCATCTTTGACTGTACAACCAGAAAGTTGCTGAGTATCTCTGACTGGAACTGCTAGAAACTGAAGTTAACCAGCAGAACTCAGCACAAAGATACTCACAAAGATGGATCTAAGGAGCATGTGGAATTAATAGGCAGTTCAGCACAGATCACCTGAAGTATGTTAAGTATGTTAAGTTCTTATCTTGAAATATAAAGAGCAAGAAGTATGACAAGCTAAGGCCAGAACTAGTTACAACACCAGCTCTTCATTAAGAAAACATACTGAAAATCAAGAATTGCAATTAAAATGAAGGGATGCTTACGCCCAGATGCCTTCCTCTGCAAACATTTTGGGTAAAGCCTGCCGTAGAGTGTTTGCATATCCAGGCTGTGTCTGAATGCGAACTTTAGCAGCTTCCATTGGAGCCAGAGCAATGTCAGCAAAAAACTCCGCACTGGCAGATGCAGCTAAATATAGCGAAGTACGCCACAAATAGGCATTTTCCTGAAAGGAATTGAAACACACGTTTTTGTTAATGAGTCATGCTTCTGTGATTACTCCTTATACTATGATGCTGCAGACATACAGCTTTACAAAACACATTTAAGGCTTACCTCTCCCAGCATGTTGCCATACAAGATTTTGAAAACTTCATAAAAACCAAATTTACAAAGCCCTTGCATGGAATAGCCAATAAAAGTTGGAGCCCATCCCTTAGCCAAGCCACGAACACCATCTTCCTTGATTGTCACTGAAAATCCATTGAAGATGCTCTTGTATTTTTGTGGATCAACCTATAAAGAACAGACAGTTAAATGTTTGATATAGCTATTTTCCTTCTCACACCCCCATCCAAAATTTTAAGTTTTTGTATTCCTCAGATAGCTGGTTTCCTATAATTCCCTGGACAGATGACGTACACACCACAAAGTTACACTAATGGTTACTTGCTACTCTCAAACCCTGACTTATTTTAACAGCCAGTATGTTCTTCCTCAATACTCAGAAACCACCAAACTGAATTTTGTTTCACTTTAATTCTCCAAATTAACAATGCAACTGTAATGAAAAGACTTACTGAAATCACTGTTCTAACACTGTCAGTGGTGCAGCTACTGGTGCAACTATGTATAGATCAAATTTTTAAAAATTTAATGAGTCCTGTCAGCAATCTCATCTACTTTACACACTCTACCTATGTACACTCAAGCACTGCCAGAAACCTAGAGATCACATGATTACTAATCAGAGAAGGTTGTTTCTCCTCTGTGATCTCTCCACACAGTCAGACTAAGATAGATGGAGCAAACCAGATCAAAAAGTACTCAAAAACTTCCACACTTGTACTTTGACTTGGCAATAAAGGCCATAGAGGCTACACCAATTATCTTCTGCCCATAAAATTTTGAGAGATTTTATTAACTTATCAGAAATTTAACACAGACTGACTTGAATAATTTTGTTTCAGGTGAAACAAAGGAAGTAATTTAGCAGGAACTTTTCCATGGGTAATTATGTCATATCCCACTGTTACTTTTCATATTTGACATCATCCTACAGCTCCTCTAAGGATAAAAAGGAAAATATCAAACTGGATGCCCATCAAAGCTTTTAGAAAGAGCTACGAAACATGCATGCCAACCTGCACTGACTGGTATACTGTCATGCAGTCTAGGAACAACATACTTGAGATCTAGTTCATCTAAATATGTCAATTTTAGAAAGAGACATAATTTTAGAAAATTTTATATTTAATCAGGCACTGTAAAATGGGACTATGTTCAAGTCAGAACCAAGCTTAGTTATTAGGTGTCCTGGTTTCAGTTAAACCATGGCAAAGGTGACCTCTTCTTAAAAAGACATGAGAGGGCAGTCAACAGGTTTCTTCCTGGAGAACTTAGGAAGGATTAGTAACATGCTCTGTACTGGATCTGTAAAGAGATAAATGCTGACAGGTTTTACAAGATCACACCTGCAATCCACATGGAACCCCCCTCCTGAACCTCCCTCTTAAGTGCTGGAGAGGGAAGGGGAAGTACCACCACCCTGACCGTACAATAAACCAGAACTGGTAGCCCACACTGAGCATGTCTGATGTGTTACAGATTTCCTAGTTTGAGACCAGAATTTCAGATGCTCTCAAGAATGTGAAAAAGTCTCTCTGGTAAACATTAAATAAAGGCCATTCCAAAGAACATGGTTTTGAAGAACAGCACATGCATACTTCTAGCATGACAAGGAGGTCTGACTAATCCAGAGTTCCCTCCTCATTTCAGGAGTTCTATAATAACAAAATGGTCATTTTTATAATCAGCCTATGCAACAGGGAAATCATGAACTACTATATTTCCAGAAATTTACAGGAGTGCTTTAATTTGCTTCATTCTTGCAGATTTGCCTGAATAAAATCCATTAGTATGTTTTCGTCCATGGCTATTCACAAAATTATTTTAATGTGTCACAAGTGCAATGCAATAATGCTCCCTTTAGATTAATCAAAAATCACTTCAAGGAAAGCAGTTGCAAGCATCAATGGCCTTCATGATATCAAATCAAGTTCTAGCCACTGCTCAAAGTGGCATCATTAGAAAATATCCAATCCATAAGCCGTGCATTGATATCCTTGGTGTTAATGGATCAAATGACACATGCATGTCACTCCAGGCTAAAAAACACAGATCCAAAAGATACTATTTCTTTACTCCAAAAGCACTGGAATATTGCTGGACAGCTAACCAGCTAGCAGAGTAACACTGTGGTGGATGTCTTTTAGCAAATATAGTCACCTAAACGTGCCGTAAACGCTGTCAAAAATAATGCATCCAGATTATCCATAATACATTTACTCCTCTTCACAGTGGTATTTTGCTAGTCTTATAGCAGTAATTTGATAAATTCAAGTTTGCTTGCTTCTTCTCATCCACAAAAGATTGCATCCCTACTACCAACTCTTAATACGCTGTCTACATAGAAAACAGAAGTTGAAGGAATGTTTGAGTTGATACAAACCTGCATACGGCATTTCACTAAATCCAGAGGTACGACACCAGTGTGTGTCAGGCCACAACTTAGGACCCCACCAACGCCACAGAGAGCATAAAACTTGAGCGAGCCATATTCACAACTGTATTCTGCAGCAAAAAATAAAGACACACCATGCTTTTATATCAACTCCATGCACTGTTGGACAGCCATGTCCAGGGTATGGTTTATGCCTCCATCTCATTAGTAATTAAATATACCACACTGAACATGCTCTGTCATCACATACCAACATGCAGAACAAACCTGCATTCTGCATTTAACCAGGTCTAGAGGAACCAGGGCCGTATGTGTTGTTCCACAGCTAATAATCCCACCAAGGCCACAAAGGATAAAGAATCTGTTTGAGCCATAGGCACAGCTGTATTCTAGTTAATTGGAAAAAATTACACATATATGATCAATCATAAATGGTAACAATAAACAGAAAAGAAACAAAACTAAGTGCTACTTTCTCAAAAGAATTAAACTGAAATAATCTCCCATGCTGTATCATTTGAATATAGTATTATAATGAAAAATGATTATTTTGCTTTAAATTAAAACATTTTGGACTGAAAAGATTTGATTCTAAGCCTTCCAAGTTGAATTTGCTCCTTTAAATAAGCAACGGAAGAAACACTGAAGTTCTAGCTCAGAGCACACTAAAACCACAGAAATTAATCCCAGAAGTTACTAGCAGAAACTATGACTCAAAGTTGCAATGCCCAACAATTTCTTATATCCAGGAAATAACAATAGTATTCCTCTAGTACTCAAAAGACCAAGCTTCTTTAGTTAAATATTCTGTGACAGTTTAACTTCTGTAGAGTTTAAGTAGAGACTTTTTTTTCAAGTAGTCTCTTTTAAGTAGACTATAAAAAGCTACAATGTTGGTGTTGGACATATGCAGATGTATTTCCACATATTTCTCAGATTATTTACAAAGATTTTTTTATAAACTCTTTCAAATACAGAATCTCACATGTATAGAGCTTGTTTAATGAAACAGCAGATTGCCATTTATACACAAGGTTCATTAAAGAATCTTTCGGGTCACATTTATTCAAGAGATACTTCATATGCACTGTCCTATAGAGTGTACATATTGTGTATAAAATCATCCAATCTTAGAATAATTATTAATTTTCACATATTGCTATACAACAAAGTTACTGGAGCTGGAAAGAAAGAATCCATTTCCTTCTTCCATTTTTGAAGAAGCTACAGAGGCTATGCGTGAGTGCAAACAAGAACCACTCAAATTTACAATGAACAGTAAAAAATAAGCATACATTAGCAGCACAGCTCTGCTACTATGCTCAACATTTTAAAAATATACGTAAAAGCAAATCCAACATACTGAGTAAGAGTACAGAAAAATAATACACTATGTAAAAAATATTCTTCAACGTAGTAAAACAATCTTTTGCTAAATTTATTTTTGTCACTTCAATATAATGAAATAGACATTAAAGTGTTACAACTTACCAAGAAATACTAATGACAACTAAAAGACAGCAAAAGCCTATCTTATGTAGAGCTTCTTTGCCATTTTTCTGGTTGTGAATTCCTTTATGAACACCAACAGAAGCTGACAATGATGTTCAACAGCACCAGCAGAGCAGATAACACTAGCAGGCTTATCCAGCTCCTAACTTTGCTAACATAACTTTTAAAGGAACTCCTTCCACAAATGTTCCAGATTTTACATTACATTTTGTATTTATATTTTTCACCTTAATTTTAAAAATTGCCCAAACAACAAAAAGTAACTTTTTCTTTATTTAAAAGAATAAATATTAAATCACAGATGCCATAGTGAATCTAAGTTAAAAGCTAAAAATCAGTTATCAGACTTACTTATTTTTAATTGAGACACTGCTAAAGACTGTAAATATGCTGGTCTGGGACTTACATATAGCTCCAAAATAGCTTGGCTAGCAGAAACAGTCTGTTCTTTCTAGAATGGCTGGTTAAACACACACAGATCAGGCAGGTGTAACCAGAGAACAGACTCTAGGTCTGTTTGGGCCAGCTCTGTCTAGCTGTGTCTTTGGCCAACAACACCACAGCCCTGCAGCAGCTACCATGCTGCCACATCTCAGAACTGCTTGTTCACATTGCCTTTACCACAGTAATTTGAAGTCATACTCCTCAAATGACAGGGACAGACCTTTATAGCAGCCAGAGAAAAGAAGAGTTTTATGTATGTGGATTACAATGCTATTCAGACTGATCTGTCAGCCTGGTGTTCAAGTACAGTGATTAGGAAAGCCAGTATCCATTAGGCTTGAGCTCTTTAGAGGTGCCTAAGTTTGGAGTGGTACAGTACTACTAGGAAAATAAAGCCACAGATGATCTTGGACTTTTTATTTCAGAAGTAAAGTCAAATTTTCTAAACAATTTCTAAAAAACCAGCTGAACATGCTGCACAAAGGAAAAGAAAGTCATTCTAACATATCCAGGTAATCATTTAAGACAAATATCTCTAAGGTACACAAATTATACATGTAGCATAAATATGTATCTCCTCTGTTGAGACAGCTACATCGTAACTATTTAATCTCTCTGCTTCCAATCTGACACGGTAACAAGGACAAATTCCATGAGCTGGTCATAAAATACTTGGTCTCTGAGCACCGATGTGGCTGATGCCCTGAGCTGATCTCAGAAGGTCGTGTGGCTTGTACTGACTTTGGGTGACCTTGTGCAAGTTCTGATATCTCCTGCAACGTGTTATGTTCTCAACACAAAAGCCAGAGAACCAGCTGGGTACGTGAAATAATGAACTCAGCAGAAAAAATTATGAAGATTGAAAAACTTTGGCCACCTTTGACCTCAACTGCCAACAAACAGGATGAAGATTAAGCATAATGCTTTAAAGAAACCTACTGAATATATTTAGCATACCAAAGGGCGATTTAGGGCTTCAGTTAGCTAGCAGCAGGATTACTACACTGAGAGCCACAAATAATTTCCTGAAAACTTCTTTCATGTATTATATGAATGTTCATGCAACTCCACAGAAATACTTCAACAATCACAGTACTTCAGAAGAGGTAGCTTGCTGAAAGTAATTACTTTTTTTTTTTTTTAAGTAAAACCAGAAAGACGCTTTTAAGTTACTGACAGCTTAAAAGAATTAGAATTTTAATATCCACCTCTACTTCAGATGGACCTCAACAGGTTGGAGAGGCGTGCAGAGAGGAACTGAATTAAGCACAACAAAGGCAAATACAGGATCCTGTACCTGGGGAGGCACAGCCCCATGGACCAGCACAGGCTGGAAATGGCTCTGCAGAGAAGGAGCTGGGGGTTCTGCTGGGCAGCCAAGCTGTCCATGAGCCAGCAGCGCGTGTGCCTGTGGCCAAGAAGGCCACTCCACCAGGGTGTCCTGTAATGCACTGGGAAGAGCACTGCCAGCAGCTCGAGGGCCATCCTGTCCCTTTACTCAGCCCTAGTGAGGCTACACTTGGAGTGCTGTGCCCAGTCCTGCGCCCCTCGGTACAAGACAGACATGGAGCTCCTGGAGCAGGTCGAGGAGAGGGTGACAAAGATGATGAAGAGACTGGAACACCTCCTTTATGAAGAGAGGCTGAAGGAGCTGGGTCTGTTCAGCCTCAAGAAAGGATGACTGAAAGTGGACCTCACCATTGTCTATAACTACTTTTGGGAGGGTGTTAAGAGGATGGATCCAGGCTCTTCTCAGTGGTGACAGGACAAGAAGCAATGGGCAGACACTAACACACAGGAAGTTTTATCTGAAAATAACTGAACTTCTTTACTGTAGTGACCACACACTGAAACAGGTTGCCCGAAGAGGCTGTGGAGTCTCCCTCCCTGGAGATATTCAAGAATCTGGACACAGCCCTCTGCAATCTGCTCCAAGATGACCATGCTTCAGCAGGGAAGTTGGATCTGTAAGGATGATGACGATGACTCATTGTGGTCCTTTCCACCCTTACCCACTCTGTGGTACTGCAAGTATCAAGGTCTGACCTTCAGAAGTCGACAAATTAACTGGGAAACATACAGGAAGCACTTGCACTTAACTCTTAAGTGCATGCCTGTATCTTAAATAGCAAGCTATCTGGCATACATCCCACAGCTAGTAAAAAGGAAAAAAAAAAGAAATAAAAAAATAACAACAGCGAACAACCCTAATGTATCTAGATGTTCACGTACCCCACTATGAATAAACTAGTGAAAAAAATAAGAGAAAAATGATGGGAGAGACGGTCTTTCGAATCCACAGATTTCAGTCACTGCTCTTCTCCACCGATGAAAGAAGTACAGGCCTACAACCTCGGTTCCCGAGGCTGCAGGCTATGCGGAGTCAGAAAAAGCGCTCGCTGCTCTCCAGGACAAAATCTACAGGAGTTTCTGTGATTACTCTGCACTAGAACCTTCCGACGTCCTTTCCCGGCAAACCGGATCCCTCCTGCTCCTCAGCACACAGCGCCGGGAGAGCGGAAGCGCTGCCAGCGCCTCCCCCG